TGTGTGTGTGTGTGTACTGGTTTATATATCCTGGTGGGGACTTAAACCTGACTACACACAGACTCATGGGGACTCGTGTCATGGTGGGGACCTAAATTGTGGTCCCCACGGGTACAAAAGCTTATAAATCATACAGAATGAAGTTTTTTGAAAATCTAAAAATGCAGAAAGTTTCCTGTGAGGGGTAGGTTTAGGGGTAGGGTTGGTGTAGGGCAATAGAATATACGGTCTGTACAGTAGAAAAACCATTACGCCTATGGAGAGTCCCCACAAGGATAGCTGACCAGACTGTGTGTGTGTGTGTGTGTGTCAGATGGGTTCAGGTTTCCAGTGTTTTAGTGAAACATGATCGTGAGGAATGGTTGTGTTATAGATTTGTGAGGATCTGCTCCAGATGACATGTTTCTCCGGGAGCGTTATGTTTATAGTCCTGATGAGCCGCGGTCACTGACCGATTCACTGGACACTCGGCCCGGATCACTGCTTACATGCCTCGCAAACGTGTGTTTCTGTCATGAACGCTGCAGTTAATGTGAACTTACCAACTGACTGACACACACCAGCGGTCAAAAGACTGGAGTCATTAGATTTCGATTAAAGATTTGATCACAAATACAGTACAAACAGTAAAATTGTGAAATACTATTAGAATGTAAAACAGCTGTTTTCTATGTGAATCTCTGTTAAACTGTAATGTATTTCTGTGATGCGCAGCTGTATTTTCAGCATCATTACTCCAGTCTTCAGTGTCACATGATCTTCAGAAATCATTCTAATATGCTGATTTGCTGCTCAAGAAACATTGATTATTATCAATATTTAAAACAATTGAGTAAATTGTTTCAGGATTCTTTGATGAATAGAAAGATCCAAAGATCAGCATTTATCTGAAATAAAAAGCTTTTGTAACATTATACACTCTACCATTCAGAAGCTTGGAGTCAGTGTAATATTTTTTGGGGGAAAGAAATTATAGAAATTAATATTTTTATTTAGCAAAGGTGCTTTAAATTGACCAAAAGGGATGATAAAGACATTTATAATGTTACAAAAACTTTCTATTTGAGATAAATGCTGTTCTTCTGAACTTTCATCAAAGACATTATACTCGCTGTTTTCAACATAATAATAATAATAATAATAATAAATGTTTCTTGAGCAGCAAATCAGCATATTAGAATGATTTCTGAAGATCATGTGACACTGAAGACTGGAGTAATGATGCTGAAAATACAGCTTTGATCACAGAAATACATTACAGTTTAACACATATTCAAACAAAAAGGAGTTATTTTAAATAGTAAAAATATTTTTAAAATTTTGCTGTTTTTGCTGTACTTCGGATGAAATAAATGCAGGCTTGGTGAGCAGAAGAGAATTCTTAAAAAATCATTAAAAATCTTACTGTTCAAAAACTCTTGACTGGTAGTGTAGATGTATATATACAGAGTTCTGGCATGAAACTCTAGATGGCGCAGTCCGATAGGTCTAACTCAATCTGACCTAATGACATCATTATCACATGGCACAGCTGATTGGTTCTCTCCTGTATCGGTAGCCAATGAGCTCGCTGCTCAACATTCAAATATATGACTAGTGCTTGCCGTAGCAGTTACAGCTTGCTTCAGAAACCCTCCACCTTCCCCAGCTCCACCTGCATAGATCTGCTACGAGGTGATTCACGTATGCTATATTTAATTCTAATTAATACAGAGTTCTGGCATGAAACTCTCATGGCACAGTCCGATAGGTCTAACTCAATCTAACGTAATGACATCATTATCACATGGCACAGCTGATTGGTTCTCTCCTGTATCGGTAGCCAATGAGCTCGCTGCTCAACATTCAAATATATGACTAGTGCTTGCCGTAGCAGTTGCAGCTTGCTTCAGAACAGCGAAATCAACATCTAAGATAAGTGAATGCTCTTCTAATCCATATCGCTGTGTGTATTGCGTGGTCTGCCTAATTTAATTCAAAAATGAGCAAACCATAATCAAGTTTAAACTGTCATGTTAGCAGTTTTGCATCGTATACAGGAGCGAATATTAAAGGTGCAGTAGGAGATCTTGGAAAATGCTAACTTTAGCCTGATAGCACTGAAAGCGAACGTCCCACCCACCCTGCAATCGCCGTCCAAAGCCACACCCCCTGAACGCATATACGCCCACTCACAC